CCTTGGGTGAAGGTTTCACAGAAGGATCTCCTCCTTTTGCGCTTTCAGCGACTTTCTTGGTGACGGTCCTCTTGACCGCTAGAAAATGAACAAGGATAAATTAGGTGTCGAATGATTAGATTGAATACGATAAAAACATTTGGTTAAAGAAGATTACCCTTTTTATCTTATCAGAAACTAGCAAAAATTCCTCTTGAAGGTGAGCAGCGAAGTCTTTTTCATCAAAAAATTCTTCGTTATAATACTGCTTCCACCAGTCCTCAAAGAGAGGCGAACACAGGAAATTAAGATTGAAGTCGAACAGAGTTAGTACGGTTCGACCAACGTACCTACCAATGTGCCTGGTAGCAGCATCCTCTGAGTAGTCTGCATTGTAAAACAGCAAAGGTTTTTCTCGAGAGTAGATTGGTGAAGGGAGCGACTGGATAATACCAAATTGTCGAGAGACAAGGTTCGGTTAATAAGAAATTAAGCTAAGTTGATTATTCGAACTCTTGAATCTCAGAGGGATGATTCTCGGTCGAAGAACGACTTCCAAATAGCTACATGTTTATCCACATAGTCATCTTCGTCAGACGAAGGGTATGGTCGAATGAACCATTTCGGGCCAACCTTTCTGCTAGCAAAGGGAGCCATGGTCGAAACAAATTTCTTCCGCTTTGCAAACATCATTATAAATCTGGTGAATGCCTTTTGGAATTGTTGACCTTTGTCAGTTGGAGTCAACAGGACGACTCTAGTCCCTTCGACCCTTCTATTCATGACTTCTGGGGCCCTCTCGTTAATCTTATTCTTCTGCGGAAGAAAAGATTCAAAAGTGGCGTTTAGCCAAAGTTGTAGAAGCCAAAAGGGGCCGGAAAGAAGTAAGCTCGTCGTATCCCCAATAACCTTAAGTTTAGTCACACCATTGCTGATGGACTCATACAGGTTGGCTAGAATCAACTCAGCCAGACAAAGAGGATAACCATGGTGAAGATGTGTTGCAAGAGTAAGCATTTTCTTAGTCACTTGAAGTGACTTAGTACAAAAAACAAAACGAGATAACCACAAAGCCAGAAAAGATATGTGCTCCACTTCAGAGACAGTGGTACTCGATTTGTCGTGGAAATAATTGATGAATACGGTATACGTGGGCTTCATGGCCGAAAACCCGATAGGATCTTCAGACAGATCCTCAGGATCGAAGTAGTCACCCGTTGATCGAAGACCAGTAATGGCAGCTATATCGAAGAGAGTTGGAGTTACCATTCCACAAGGCAAATGGAAGGTAAAACGGGTGTTGTCCCAAAAATACAGTGAAGCCACCAGCATGAGAGGGCAATAAGCTAGCCCAGTCTTCGACAGCATAATCAAGTTATAGATCCCCATATCTTTCTAGATTTGGGCTTGTACTTGTTCCATCTTACTCATCCATTCCGAGTATTCTAAAGTAAGACTAGGACAAGATCGAAAGATTCTATTACCCTTGTTCATGAACTGAAGGTTGATATCTTCCTTCGTTTGAGGATGTTACTGGTTGGCAGGAGTTACATCTTCAGGATCATTCCTGAGTTTCTTCGCACAACCAATAGGCTTGAGCCTAAGGTGAGTTGGGAAGAAGTTGTTATTCTGTTTTGGGTTCTCGAAACATGAAGACAATGGGCCAGACATAGCATACATTTGTCCAGAATACCTAACATGGATAAGCAACTGGGAGTCACAAGAATCACGCCACTCTTTGGCCATGGGTTCAGATACAACCCTTCGTTCCCCAGTCGAAACAGGTACAGGGTTAGTAGAGAAAACCTCTGGTTGTCTTTGAAGATCATAAGCGTTCTTAGTGTTTGGATTGTTGGGTGCATTGGAAAGGAAGGCCATGGCTGAAAGTAGTAGTGAAAGAGCGAAGAAGACAAAGTTGTTAAGGTTTTTTTTTCTTTGCAAGGAAGTGAAGAATACTAGGAGTTGTAAAAGAATTTCCAAAAGAAGATTCATCTATTTATAGTGTTCAGGAAGGAGTGTTTTTCCCAAAACCATTTAATGCTGCAGAGTTAATGGGACACGTGGCAAACGTTAAAGCAGTTATCGTACGAGAAATGAAAACGTTTGCCATACTTTCCTAGGTTGTAGGGATAATGGTCATCATGGCAGCATGGTAACGGTTGATTGACAGCGACATGTTGAGAAAAGATAATGGTGACTCTGAATATCAGCAGGGGTTGGTAGAAGGCGAAAAGCACACAAGCGATTTCTATGGTAAAAAATAAAGACAGATGTCGAATGGGAATCTCAAAGAATAATCATCTCTTCTTGCGTCGAAACTGATATTCTTGGGGGGGGGGGGGCAATCTGTTAGCTCTTAAATTCGACACCTATAACAAGTTGGCCTTATGGGCCAAAAATAGATTGAATAAGTCTAAATTGGAAAAGCTTCGACAAAGTAGAAAAGTACTTAGAGAAACTCTAAGTTAAAGTGAGTCTTCGACCAGAAGGTTCTCAATCCCTTCGAATGAAGGGACTCCAAGGTCTTCGACCAGAAGGAAGCTTCGTATCTGCCCCGAAAGATTTTTGAATCTGGAGAAAGGAGGGAAAAGCAGTTCGCTTGGCAGTTGAGGAAAACAACGTGGCGTGCAAAGAGGGGTCGAAATACATATAGAAGACACTTGTCTTCATCCTGGAGCAAGGCAACTCCTCGACGGTTACCTAGTTTTAGTATAAATATAGGAAGTTTATGTAGATTTTCGTGTGTTCAACTGATCGTACAAACTATTGAATACTATTCAAGTACTCGCTGAGTGAGAAAGAATACTGAAAAATGTACATTTGAAACACCATATTTTACAATCAAAGTCTTTTATTTCTCTCTTTACATTTCTTGCCTCTTTATCTTGTTTGCACTTTATCTGCACTTTTACCCAAATTCCTGCACCTAACCTCTCCTCAACCCCTTCTTTCTATTTACTTTCTGCACTCAAACTCATCCCTTTTCCAGTCGAACTTGAGTTCTTCGCCCACAATAACGTTTATGTCCAAACAACACCAAAAATTAGCATATGTCCTAGGATCAAACTGATCGATCCTGCGAGTAACTAAAAAGTTATTCTTTTTAGAAGATCAGCGGTTGTTCACCAGAAAACACGATAAATAGATAGCTACTGTACATGAGGTAGACACACTAATGTAGGAGGATTGAGAAGCAATCGTGCTCCCTCCTGGGGGTGTGTTCCCACTAGAACCATTATTTTTGGGATCCACCATTTTCCAACCACTTCTTAAAATCATACACTCTCAGTATTGAAGTTTTTAGGAAAACAACATGCAAAATAACGATAACTTAACACAACGAGTCCCACCGGATGTGCCAATTTATTTGCACAGGTTTCTGGAAAATAATCTCTAACCTCTTAATTAAAGGTTACTTGCAGGACCGGCTATAGAAGTCCTAGACTTAGTGTTAAGTTTAGTGTGGATTTAGTGTTTGAACTGGTTTAAGACTGAATTATAAATGAAATGAGTAAAAGACAAAACAATTGCTATGTGAGAATAAAATAACAGAACAAGGCTTTAAAAGAAAATAATAATGTAAATTGCATTAAATAAAATTTGGAAGCATGCATATATTTCAAACTTGAACTCGTTTCTTTCCAGAATGCGGATACTTTGAGTAATTCTTTTAATGTAGTAAAATGTGGCCCCTAAAAAGAATTTAAAAACTTGCTTAAATAGATAAATGAAGTAACCGTTCGACCGTTACTAAACTACCACGTTCTGAGTTCGTGTGAAACTGCCTTCGAAACCTCCCACGTTCTATTGACAACCATGAATAGTAACCGCTTCTCTGTCAACTGCTTTTGCTTTCGACCGTGGTCGACAGACTCAAACCTCAACATCTAATTTTGGCTAAGTCCCTGAAATCTTTCTAAATAACATATGTTGACATCTCTTATTGAGTTGTTGTTGGTGTCGACGCTGCTCCTTATTTAATGGTAACTTTTGACTTGTAATCCTTTTTTTTAGTCGAAAATTACTAGCTAACTGCTCTCTTGAAACAAGCACAATGCTTGTCTCCCTTGCTACCACAGTTGTTAATGCATCCCACGAGGCTGAAAACATGTTGGAAAAGAAAGAGCAGTCTTACCTATTATATGAACACAACACTCAAATGGGAGATTCCCTCGTGATCCAAGTGAACATTGCGCTCCTAGCACACTTCTGTTTCCCTCTTGACACACGTACGATGCATGTCTCCCTTGCTGCCATAGTTGTTAATGCATCCCACGAAACTAACAACACGTTAGAAAAGAAAGATCAATCTTACCCATTATATGAACACAACGATCAAATGGGATATTCCCTCGTCATCCATATGAACATTGCGCTCTTAGCACACTTACACTATCCTCTTTGACATACGTATGATGCATGTCTCCCTTGATGCCACATTTGTAATGCATCCCACGAGGCTGACAACATATTAACTCGTGTCATCCCTCCTTCCTTCACCCACAACCATATGTTTCTATAACCATTAAATATCAATTATAGATTACTTATCCCCACCCATAAAGTTTGAGGAAGATTTTATTTTGATCGGACAGTGGTGATAGCAAATTGGACGTACCTAAGAGAGTCGTTAAAAAACCTATCGGTAGAAGAACTTTGTGTTACAATAACTGAATTTTATTTAGAATTTGTTTGCATTTGTTGTTTGAATATATTTAAGAGAGTCTAAGTCCATTAGTATCTAGATCCATTAAGAATGACTTGGTATTTAAAGTGTAACATGTGATATACTAATGGATATGAGAATTCATAATATCATTTTTTTTCTCCCTTAGTTTTCTAGTTAAACCCTAATTTTTCCGATAGTTGTAAAAAACCATTGTCGTGTCAGTATTTAAATAAAAAACTAAAAATTCATATGAAATATAGGTTTGTTTTCTTTTAATTATTATATATCTTATGTTTCTTTTGTTCTTTAACTGTTAGGAAATTTTTTGTTAACAAAAATACTACTAGAGAAAATGATAGATACATCAAATAAGACACGCATTCAAGGAAGAATTATAAATGTTTCTTCTGCGGTTCATAGTTGGGTAAAAAGAACATGCTTTTGTTTTAAAGACATGCTCAATGGAAAAAAGTACGTTCATAATTTACTTCTTTTCTCTATAAACATAAGAACAAAGTTAGATTACATTAACTTATCATTACTAGTTAATATCTAAATAACAAAATTGTAGTTACAACGGGACGCGTGCATATGCCCAATCAAAATTAGCCATGATTCTACATGTAAAGGAAATGGCTAGACAGCTAAAGGTTAGAACTTACAAATAAACCCTCAAACTTTATGTTCTTATTCATGTCACGTTTAAAATATTGGAAATGGGAAATTATTACAGGCCAAGAATGCAAGAGTAACTATCAATGCAGTGCATCCAGGCATTGTGAGAACGGAAATTATTAGAGCACATAAGGGCTTAATAACAGGTAAGGAAAAATTAATCTTACATTGAAAATTTTGGTATACACAAGTCGTGTCATTTAAAGCCACTTAAGTGACATGCTTGCAAAATTTTCCTGCAGATTTCTTGTTTTTCATTGCATCAAAGTTGCTCAAAACAGTATCGCAGGTTTGACTCTCTCTTAGATGGAGAAATCAAGCAATTGAATTAATTTTTTCTTTTAAAATTTGCAGTATATATAATCAAAACTTCATATGAATTGATATGTGTATGCAGGGTGCATCAACTACTTGTTATGTTGCGCTGGGCAGGAACACAGAAGGGGTGAGTGGAAAATACTTTATCGATTGCAATGAGAGTGATTGCTCAAGTCTTGCAAATGATGAATTAGAAGCTAAAACTCTATGGAACGATACAAATACTTTTCTTCACAAACGACTACAACAAGCACCAACTGGAAGTTCTTCTTCCATATTTTCTACACCTTATGTCTAAACATTGTCTATGTGTATATGCTTGTGTGTATAACAAACTATAACAAAATAATTGTCAAAACAAAAAAAAAAAAACTGACCAGATTTGCATTCATATTGGTGAGTTTTCTCAAGAGTATTGGATGCCTAATATTATATTTTCTATTGCTAGTAGTATTGAAATTCCTATTTCTACTATCAAATTCATGTTCATTCGTTTTTTATGTCATTATGCTTGTACCTTGGTGGATGTGGATCTTAGTAATGAGCTCCTAATCAAACTATGGTGGAAAGAAATTATTTTTCTTTGTTAGCATTGATCATAAGAAACGTTCGGAATTATTTTAATCATTTCAAGAACATTGATCACAATGTGAATATTGTAGGAATTTTGAGCCTTCTCTAGAAGAGAAATCTCCACAGACTCACAAAAGTCACCCTAAAGGGGATAAAGGTGAAGAGCCTTTAGAAAATAAAAATCCATGACTTTATTGGTGGAGTTCACAAATGGGATAAGTGAAGACGTTGATCTAAAAGGATATAAAGGAAGGAGAGGGACATGGATTCCTATTACATATTATTGTGAAAAACGATGCCGGAATAATAAAGTATAATCGATTTTCTGATCCGGAAGAAAATCCATAAGAGTAGGAAAGAGGGAAGTAAAAAGAACACAATGAATTAGTTATAAACTACTATTTTTTGCTTTCTCTTTGAAGCAAGATTACAAGTGTTACAGAATAACAAATAAACTCTCTCACTCTAATTAGGATTTGCATTGTGCAATTGTTCCTGCAGAAAAATTTGAGATTAAGCTATTGATTAACTTAACTCAGAAAAAAGCAAGAGTCTCCACCAAAATTTATTATTTTCAAAGGAATGGGAAAATATCGAGAAAACCCACAAAAAGTTTTAAATCAAACTAATAAAAGAAAGATCAGGGTGCGGGAGTCGGTTATACAAAGCGAAGATGTTAGCACCCCTTACATTTGTTGTACTTTAACGGGATCCACTCTAATTGTTCTAATCAAAGGGTGTTGTTATTAAAGGTTACTTGCTAAGAATGCATGAATGAATTGATTGGGGAAAATAAAAGGTCTTTATTATTGAGTTCGTTCGAATTTCGCAACCTAGTGCCTACGTATCCCAAAGGAAATCAGAACACATGTAGTTCTTCTTGTAAAAATTTGTTTGTTGATTGTTTTAAATGAATAGACATGTCGTCATATTCGAGTGGAAAACTTACTTACTACCCACAATTATGAGGAATGAGCACTTGCATCATCTTGATGGAGTATTTGCTTTGATTTAATCAACAAGACAATTCTCAACATTCAAGAAGAAAATGTCCATCACTTCACAACATATTGTAGAAGCATAGTAGTTTGCATCACTACAAGAATTAACTAATGTTCAATCTTTGTGAAAATATTTTTAAAAGGAAAAGTGCACAAAGAGCACAAAAGGTTTGAATGAGTTGAAGTGTTTTATTAGGAGATACATCAAATGGTTCCCTAAGACTGGGGGTATTTGAGTATTTCTCCTTTAATTTTGAAATGATTTGAGATACGTATTATACTAAAGACTATGAAATAAGGGTGAATACTTTGTACAAATGAGTCATGCATCTCACGTACAAAATACTCTAAGAAGAGGTAAGAAAGACTCTCACTCATCTTTTCCCATTTGCTTAAGGCTCATGACGTATTTATACGTATCATATTTGTTAAGTATTTTTATTTTTCATTAAGAAAAAGATTTTTGGTCTTTAGAAGGAAAAGAGATGTAATGCAAAAGAAAGCAAAAGCAAGAGGAACTCCAACTCTAATTGTTGTCATGCATTTAAGGATCTAAGGTTGAGTTTGAAGAGAAACCCTGATCTAATATTTTCATGCCTGGATCAACATCTTAAGGTCTAAACTTGATTCAATAAAATTAAATTAAGGAAACCTTAAGGGAACATGTGAAGCATGTAAGACAAGCAAGCACAATATCAATCATCAAGTGAAACAACCGGTTGAAAATCATTAAACAATGAAGTCGTTATCGAACGTCTTTTATCCTACATGAAGGGAAAGGTAAACATCGAGAAAACCTGATAATGGTGAAATTACGATCAAATGACCGAGAGATCGGATAAGGGAGTCTGTTACGCGAGGAGAAGGTATTAGCACCCCACACGCCCGTAGTACTCTACGGTATCCACTCTTGTTGTCTATCTTATGAGTGTGTTTAATTTATGCTTACTGTTTACTACTGAAGAAGAATGCATGCAAAAGAAAAGAGAAAAGAATGTAGGGAAAATAAAGTTGTACTCGCTTGGGCCATACCCCAATGCCTACGTATCCTTTTTGAGGAATCGGAGCTACCGTAGTTCGGTTAACAAGTTTTTGTTTGTTTTGTGTTTTTTATGAACAATGTTAATTTCGCCTTCTGTCGCAGCTCGACCTTTGGAGACTTACACGTTCGCGCAGAAGTAAATTAATCATGTCCTTACTGAAAATGGTTTCGAGTTACGCCCTCGAGTCAAGATTTCACTTTTGATTGGTTTGTATTTTGTTACCTTGAAAAAGGGTTTAAGTATGATAAGCATGTTTTAGGTTTGCCAAGGAAAAGAAGATTTTAGTTTTAAATGCATGTGCAAAAGGGGAAGAAAAGAGTCTAAAGGAGACTAGCCTATTTCTAATCCTAATTTTATCATACAATGTTAGTCCTAAGGTTTGGATTAATAAAAGGGAAACGTCTACCTAATATTAGCATGCATGGCTTGCAACCTAAAGTCTAACTTGCATCCAAAAGGAGCAAGCATATCCTAAAGGAACATGGCATGTACAAGGATAAAACAATCAAGCTCGAAAGAGCACACACATAAAAGAGTAAAGAAAAGAAACGAAATACTTTAGCCAAGGGGAGTGTATCACCCGAGACAAACAAGTGAGAGTGAGATGAAAAAACAAAATGTGATGTCCAAAGCGACTAAATACCTAACCAAGATATAGGAGATCGAGGTAAGCAACAAAAGGCAATATGAACGATCATAGAGTATCAGCATCGACCAACCCGAACTCTTGACAAAGCGTGGGGGTTCGATTGCGGAACCCTTCCCCACTTAATGACTCGATAACAAGAGCAGGCATAACTCTGAAGCATCGTGGTGCATCATGAGCTAATGATGACACAGACGAAATTGCGGGGGTTGATTGCAAACCTTTCCCGCTTTCCACTTTTTGAGGACTTATCATCTATATATATGCGGGCACAAATATAAACACACCTGTAGAATACCTACTCAAAGGTAGGGTTTTAAACAAACCACACACAAGTAGCACACAATGGTAAACAATACAAAATTTCCCTAAATGGGTCTTTAAATAAACCAGAGGGATTCCTGATATAATCAGCAACAGAGATCCCCGTCATACATCTCTACCCTACTTCTCATGGCATCAGAAAGCAGTAAATCCCTACTTCTCATGATTTCTAGAAAAGCGGTAAAGAAATACAGTAAAGTGAGAAGAAGTACAAAGGTAATATCGGTGACTACCAAAGAGAGCAAATCGTCAAGAGCAGACAAAAGCAATAGAGAAGCAGGGAGTATGCGTCGAGCAAGCTTCACCAAGAAACAATTAAAGTCATAAATAATATCCAACTACGATAAAAGCAAACGCGTGTTGCGAATGCAACGTGTAATCAGAAGTTCCTGCACAAAGCGTCATAAAACATCACATGTATCTGGACAACATGTAATAATATGAATTTCCCAGGACAATGAGAAGTAAGGTGTGTCGCATTGGAAGCGAGAATAAGTCGTATGTTCCGATCGCATAACAACTTGTTATATTATATGATCGAAAGCACCAAAATGTATCTTGCACAATTAACAAACATGTTAAAAATAACAAGGAAAGTATATGGAAGAAAGAGTAGAAGAGTGCTTGGAGAAAGCAGGGCCAAAGCAAGGCAAAAGAAACGGAAAAAAAGCAATGCTGACAGTTTGAGTCGACTCAAAGATGGGCTGGGTCGATTCAAAAAAATGAGTCGACTCAAAGGGTCAGCGCGACACTTCCTACAAGTGGCCAAAATTGGTTTTTGTTCAGTTTGCATCGACTCAAAGCACCGTATGCATCGACGCACAGGTTTGAGTCGGCTCATAGGGTCGGCACGACACTTCCCGCGGGTGGAAAAATGGTTTTTGTTCATTTTTGCATCGACCGGAGCTAAGTTTGAGTCGACTCAAACTGCCTGATAGTGCAATTTTGTGCAATTTTGAAGCAACATAACTTTTGCATCAAGTATCTGTTTCGTGCGTGGTTCGAATCGTTGGGAAGCTTGAAAATCATAGAATATCCACGGCATGAAACGAAAACCAAATCGATGAATGCACGCACGAAAAAATCTCCTTGATCATTGCATAATCGAAGTATGAACTCATAATCTGTTTTTATGAGTTTCGACATGTTTCGACATGTTTTTACCGGATTAGAAAACTGAATTCACACCAATTATGCAATCATCATAGAAAAGAGGATTTGTGTGCATTCAAAAATTGGTGATCTCATGCATTAAGGCCAAGATATCATGACTCGAGCATTGTGTCGAGCACATAATCTACACAAGATTGCACATGGATTTTGATTCACAAAGCAAGGCTCTAGTCTATGTCAAATCACATGCAAATTCAGATTTCTCATCAATTCTCAAAGGCAACAATGTTAAACAACATGAATAAGAACTTTTCTTGAGAATGTATTAATTGTAAAAGTGATTATTGATCATCCAATTCCGTATCTGAGCATTTTGATCAATCAGTTTATAATTCCACCACTAGATCCACAGTCACAATTCAATTCTCTATTCAAAACTCACTTCAATTATCAATTCTATGAAAATGCTTATTTCAAGAGTCAAGTATGCAAAAGTGCTTAAATCAATAAAACCAGTTGTGGAATCGAAGAGGAGGTTGAGGAGAAGAGATCACTGATGTCGAATCAAAGATCAGAGAACTCTAGCAAGAGAATGAGG